ATAATTGGCAGAAGTGGGCCAGGAACAGGACAGGATCAGTGGACGCTCAAGGGGATTCTCAGTTGGGGTCGGCAATCTTCATGGTAGGAGGGTTTTTTAGCCAGTCCGCCGCGAGCCCCTTTCAGCGGTTCGAGGTATAGACTCTGAACCACAGGTCCCGTGTCCCCGGGGGCAAGGTCTCGCCTAGAGCTGGCTGCCGCGTCCCAATGTAGGCAGCCTCTCTGAGCCCCCCGCTGTATTAGTCATCCTGATGTCCTTCAGGCGGTTCCCAGGGTTTGGATAGGGCAGCTCGTAGGAGCGTGACCGGCAGTCGAAAGGAGTGGTTTTGTACAGTGTCATGAGACAGGCATCGGCAGTGCACGCGACCGGGCAGTACTGTCTGTGGACGCTCACGACGTGAATACTTGGCAAAATGAAACAGTATCAATGAGGCGTGCAGGGAGTGTTAGGTGTGACAGGGTTGTGGGGGAGTGAAGCTGGACATGGGGTTTAATAGGGGGAGGGGGAAGTGGCCGGTTATGTTTGTGGGCGAGAATAAAAGAGATTGTGATGTAGGATTAATGGTGAGGGGTGAAAGGTTGACATTTAAAGACAGCTGATAGGCCTTTAAAGATAATGGATGGGTCTTTTCTTCTATGTTATATTCTACATTGCTTGGTTCGGAAGGTGAGATTTTAGCACAAAGGTTCTGGTGTATCACGAAAGAACTGTGAATGATGAACATGAACACGGAAAGAAAGATCAGACAGGAGACTGGTATATAGGTAGACCGTGCATCCATCCCTATCTCGGTGCTTGCCCTCATCTCAAGCTTTCCGAGGCCATCTTCTTCCCAGTCACAGGCAATACGTTGACGTGCCCGCCATCGCTGACATGTCAACCGACGTGGTGAGCTTAGAGAGAAGTCGACCAGGTGGTGAGCAAAAGGCTGAGACCTTTTTTTTTTTCCTGCTCTACGTTAACTATCACGATTTTACAAGAGGAGTCCTGCATACCTAAATGAGGTAGGTAGCAGCTACAACAACACCTTGGCAAGGTCTTTCTGACTTTACACATTTGCGAGATCTCTGATTGGTTTAGCTGCCTCTCAGGCACCAACACACACCAAAAATCCTTGGCTCCTCCGTGTCACAATGCCAACCTGACCTTTTTCACAGTTCAGAAATTTGACATTGGCGACATTCCACTTTAGCAAATGGCTAATCACCTCTGTCGACCGTGCCAAAAGCTCAGTTTCGACAAATTGCAGAGTACCCAGCCCGAAGACCTCTCCGACGAAGATGGGCGACTGATCAAGCGGACTTTGTCCCCGGACTTGATCGAGAGCTGCGATTTATGCAACTTCTTTGCTCGGGCAGCTCGGTATTATACCGGGGACTGCAAGGAATATCTCAATGCGGACGGGGTGCCTGAGATATCTCTTCGCCTGGGCAGGTGGAGTCGGAGAACGCCATGTCTTCGCGACGACCACGACCTGGTGATCCTCATTGAGAAACAAGATGCCGAGAAAGAAAAAGCAGGGAGCCGCTTGATAGAACCGGACCGGATTGACTACTCGTTATTGCGCGGTTGGTTTTCCCAATGTGAAGATGGCTACATGCGGGATTATTCCAAGTACGATATCGACACCCTCCGCGTCATCGACTGCGGGGATGTTGGGGACGGAGAGCAAGAGCCAAGGTTGGTCTCATGGGCTTCAGTTGGCAAGCAGTTGGACGGTAATCCCCCAGAATATGTCGCCTTGAGCTACGTGTGGGGAGCAGCGCCAGGCGGGCTGCCTACTTTGGCGGTAAACTCGACCCTCCCTGGGCCCCTCCCAAAGGTCATCTCGGATGCCATTGTGGTGGTGAGGAATCTGGGGGGTCGTTATCTGTGGGTGGACCGGTACTGCATCCCACAGGGCGACAATGACGAGAGGGAAAAGCAGATCCATGCGATGGGACAGATTTACCAGTCGGCAAAGTTCACCATTATCGCCGCGGCTGGAGACGGGCCGGACCATGGACTGCCAGGCGTTACCACTACAAGACGTCTACCTCACCCCTTCATAAACATCCAAAATCACACTCTTACTCTCATTCCCCAGCCAGACGGATACATTCACCATACCAAATGGGCTACCCGCGGTTGGACCTTACAGGAGGGCTTTCTCTCCAGCCGGCGTCTGGTGTTTACCGATCACCAAGTCTTCTACGAGTGCCAGTGTATACAAGCTGTCGAGGCGCTTGTAGGTACATACTGGCACCCATACTCGTACTCATCAAGAGAGCTGTGGTTCCACGTGTTCGCAGGCGATACGAGCAAAAGAAAAGGGAGGGGCCGGCCGGGCTTCCATTACGTCGAGCAGCTGCACGGCTTTATTGAGAATTACATGACGCGGGATCTGACAGACGCCAATGACGGTCTTAATGCTTTCCGGGGTATTCTGCAGCACGCTGAACAAAACTGGCAAACACCGATCCATGAGGTTTGCGGACTGCCAATCTATGTCCCGGAATATCTGGGTACGCCAAACAACAATTCGGCCATTGCCGTCAGTCTCTCGTGGAAGATGAGTGATCTGAGGCGGCGACCCGAGTTTCCCAGCTGGACGTGGATCGGGTGGAGGTCGGTCAAGAGGACTGGAGGGGGGTCGTTTTATCTTGGTACGGATGAACGGTGGTATTCATCGGCGGATTCGAAACATTACATCACATCGGTGGATGTCGCTTTCCGCGATGGCCAGGTCATCCAGTGGTCCGACTTTGATGGCAGGGGAGACAGAGGGAAAGTCTTTGAGAAGTCGTCGATGCCGGGAATGTCTGAGCTACCACAGAGTTTGTTGGTGACAGGCTGGCTGTTCGATCTGACTGTTGTTCCGGTGGGTGATCCAGGGGACGGACTCGCCACGACTGAGTTCCACACTGTCGAGATCAGGGAGCAATATCGACGGCCCATGTCTTTTGGAGTTGAGCGGGAGCATCTGATGCCGTTCTTTCCTGCCAACAGCGATGGCAACAGAAAACATACATTCACCTGTTTGCTACTAGCTGAAGTCGACAAGTCCAACGACCGAAGCACGCTTGTATTCCTGATCCTTCGCCCCGTTCTTCAGGCCGAAGCTTTAGTGCAGACGTTTGAGCGCCTGGACTGCTGGACTCTGACATCAAGCACGCCCATCGTACAGGTTGACGGTACGACCATGAAGGCTGGGGATTGTGTATTCAAAAACGATGCTCTGGTTCTGCAATAGCCTTGACATGGTCTTGTATGTAGCATCTTTGAGAAAGCATGGACGACCTTAGACTCCAGATATGTAGTTTGATTCAGAGCCTAACAATCACATACGACCATAGATAGCTGAAAGCTCGGGATCCCGTCCGCTCTCCCCTAGATAAACAGCTAATCGCCAGATCAGTACTCAGGTGGGTGACCACTGGGGAATCCCTGGTGTTGTATGTTTTTTTTTCTCTTTTTTGTCCCACTTTACTCCATCACCAGATCCTGGCAATATACGCACTCTAAACCCCAACCCTGGTACACACACGCACACACCCCGTCACGTCAACATCAAATCAAAGTAACCAACCATACAAGCAACAAAAGAAATACCATTACATTGGGCTTTTTGTTGGAAACCTGAGCTTTTATGTCAAGCCATGGCAAGCAACAAGAGTTCATCTGATATCTCCATCAAAAATGGCGGGAGCCGTCCAGATCTCGAGGTCGCATCGCAGCCGTTTTTTTGTCGCCACTTCCCGACAGATACCGATGCTACCCTTCGGCACTTTCATCACCACGCCAAAATATTCTACAAGCCCGAGTCCTTCAATTCGATCGTCAAACCAGTCCCACAGCAGAAAAGCCCATGTCTCATTCTCCATTCTCCCCGATCACGGTGACTCAGTCTCAAAACACCCCGGGCCAAGCTATCAAAGTGGAGGTGGGGTCTTGGATCTTCACTCCTGCACCTCAAAGAGACGAAGCTCTAAGCCAAGCAGATCTGGGCTCGGCAGAGGAAGAGAGGTTTTTTTTTCAGCTTGATACCTATCCGTACAGTGTAGGGTTGACTCATTTTTTGGGTTGACTTTATATCTTGGTTTTATATTGTCTTTTTTGTTGTTGTTTCATCCCAAGTTTGAAGGTTCATCCAAGATTTCCGTCTTATCAACGAGCAGTCGAGATGGCCACCACGGACGACAGGCTGGAGGAAAAACCACCATACGGTGTTGATGTTGATACCGAGAAGAACACGACAGCAGTCACCACCAACGATGGCCCTGTTGCCGCTTGGACTCGGATCCGTGATCTTGCTCACAAGGCCATTGTCTTTGGGCGAGTTGAGTTGAGAGGTGTGGCGCCGATTCCTGTCAAGGAGAGGACGGTTGATAGGACGATCAATATTTTCACGTTGTGGTGGTCTATGAATGCTAATATCTTGCCGTGAGTACCCTTTGCCATTTGACATAATAACAAGAAACTGACAAGAGAACGAACAAACAGTATCGCCTTTGGCATGATCGGACCTGCCTCTGGGCTCAGTCTCAGAGACAGCTCCCTTGTCATCTTGTTCTTCGTCCTGTTGACCACCCTCCTGCCGGCCTACCTCGCAACCTTGGGACCAAAAACCGGCATGAGACAAATGATCCAAGCCAGATACAGCTTCGGGTGAGCTACCCGCCTGTCCCTCCGCAATAACAAAATACTTACACCGCTACCCCAGCCGCTACATCGTCTCCATTCCCGTCTTCCTCAACCTGGCCACCATGACCGGCTTCTGCATCATCATCGCCGTCATCGGTGGCCAATGCCTCTCCGCCGTAGCCGACGGCAACCTCTCCGTCACAGTCGGCATAGTCATCATCTCCCTCGTCACCCTCGTCATCTCCTTCTGCGGCTACAAGTGGCTTCACATCTACGAGCGCTACGCCTGGATCCCGGCCTTTATCGCCATCATCGTCGCCGCCGGCTGCGGAGGAAGGGACCTCGCCAACCAGGTCCCTGCCGAACCGGCCAAAGCCTCCGCTGTTCTGTCTTATGGCATGATCATGGCTTCGTACATGGTCCCCTGGGCGTGCCTCGCATCCGATTTCACCACTTACCTCAAGCCCGACACGTCTTCTGTCAAGATCTTTTGCTACTCTTACTTTGGCCTGGCGACCCCAACGATTCTGCTAATGACGTTGGGCGCGGCTGTCGGTGGTGCGATCCCGAACAACCCCACCTGGCAGGACAAGTACAACGAGACGCTTGTCGGCGGCATCCTGGACGCTATGCTCGCTCCGGCGGGCGGGTTCGGGAAGTTCCTCGT